ATCACAAACCATTTCGTCAAGGCAAGCCTCTAAATCACTCACGGAGAGATAGTAACAGCTCACTTCATACTGAAGATAGTGGTGATGACGTCGTCTAGAAAGACGATGAAGGCTTCAGGATTAAAAAACCCAGCTCAGAGAACACAATACAACCAAGACCATCCACCTGAGCTACAAGTATTCTCAACTATTTCAAAATGCGTAAAAGGCGATGAAAATGAAACATTATTTTTAATTTAAGTGGTTTATACATAATTTCGTGCAGTCCCCACACTGCATATTCACGACATAGGCACTTATGAAAGACACTTCGATGCTCTCATCAAAGGTGGCACACTCAAATACTTAGAAAGAATGGTTATACAATGTTAGTGCATGTTTTGAAGTTCTGAAGTTGTTCTCTTTAGAAACCCATTATGAGTATTACAATCCTGAAATTTATTCATCGCGTTGTTGCACCCTCCATTGTGACTGACAACACCAGATTACTTGTCGAATGTCACAGTGAACGAAGTAATCTTCATCCATCAATAGAAATTCCATTCTTCTCGACATATGAGACTAAAATGTCAGTCAGACACCCTTCAATCAACGCATCATCCAACGTTAATCATGAAGTTGAGTAATCTCTGATCCATGCTACATCTGTTGAAGTCATTTCCTACTACTTCTGATATTTCAACAGAATAGTAAACAAACTTGTTGAGTGACGTTAATTCGGTCGTCTCATAAACGATAAATTGTCATTGAGTATGAACTAACTACTGATCAGTATAGTAACATGAACAGGTAGGTGTGTTGATATATCCTGTGGTATCCTTTCAACTTGATCATGTGTCTGTAGATATTAAGTCGAATGTGCTATGAGAACCACACTTTTACACCTTAATAAGAAAGAGTGCTAACAAGATTCCCTTTGTCATGAATCGAACCAACGATCTTGTCCTGTCTAGCATGACTTTCTATATGTATAGTTTGCTACATATCCATTAATCATTTTCACTAGTCAAATGTTTAACAAACTGATTATATCAAATTCGTTATGCTCTAGAGAAAAACAAGGATTTGGGCAACATAAAATGAACTTATCCTTAAAGAAGGAATCAAATTGGAACTTGTATATCTGTAATAACTTTTCAGCAGGTTCACATTCACATTCAGAATATCACTTCCTAGTTTTCAAATAAAAACATCAATGAATAATCATCCGAATTAGGACTCTGTTCCTAGTCTTTCACTTCCGAAGCAGAAATCAGTCATCCATTGCATTAGGCGTTACCTGAAGTCATCTAACAGCAAACCCATGGTCACTTCATTCTGTGTAATCATTTCAGGCTAGTAAATGATTCGAAGAAAGGCATAACTGTACGGTATACTTAACTTACTCACACATATTTCTATCTTTAATCCCAACCAATCATCTTTCAAATTAACTTTATTGTTCATATCTAAAACTGATCTCAATTGCACACCGTCTCGTCAATTTTCGCCTTCCAATATATTCTGTACAAATATCAGTTCCTCAAGGTTTCCTCGCCCCACATACTTCAAGTAAGATGACTAGCCTCTTTTATAAAGACGATAGCCAATTACTTATCACTAGTTTAGCTTTCACAGCGACATACCTTGGTTTTCATGATTTCCTGTAACAGACTCACTGGTTGAGATCACATTAATTTCATAGATAAAATCGGACCTAACTCATTCATGTTAAACAGCCTTATTCATTTCAGAGTGCAAAGACGAAGTGGATCAAGCGTTGAGTGTGTGCTCTTCCCATGTAAAGCCAGTCTCATCAGCAGTGTATGCCGACGAATCTAGTCTACAGGCGAGTAAATATGCTCAGATCACATGGACGAGCCCAGTTGACATGGAAGGAGGAATATGCCAGAAGATGAATTGAAATGTATGGGTTACTTCCAAATTTCTTGATCCATTTCCACACTTCTTACATCTGAGTAGCATATCACCTGTTCAGCTGGGGAGTTTCTAGTATTCCTACTGCAGATCATCCAGCTACAATCACTAATTGCCACCTTTATCCAAAGCTATCAGAAGATGTATTCGCTGTGATACCAGCATATATATATATATATATATATATATATATATATATATATATATATATATATATATATATATATATATATATATATATATATATATATATATATATATATATATGAAGAATGCACATTGATGACTTAGAAATCACAGACTGAGTGTAAGTCAAGATTCTTCTACTCTCTAACAGTTCATATTTTATCATTATAATCAACACTGGTGGTGGGAATTTATGAAAACATATTCTCCACTCCACAGACCTTTTCAGAAACACATATTTGTAATCTTGGTGTCGCTGATTGCATATTCACTCCTGCCATATCCTTTTTTGTCCATCTCGACTGAAAGACAGACACCCACCAATGAAAACGGTGAGTTGAGATTTGGACAGAACAATGAGAATGCCATCACACATGATAATGTGTGACACGTGGTTAAACCACATACAAAGTATCACTCTCCTCAAGGCTTCACACATACCCTGCTGTTCAAACCCACAAAACAAGGAGCCAAGTGTGTATGCACTGAAACTGACTCTGAGTATATGACACCATTTGCCTTGACAATGTATTTGTTACAACTCTGGTCATAAGTTGTAAGCAACTGAAGAATCACACCATCGAACAACTTATTTGTTCAACTGCATGTTTTGAAAGTCTAAAATTCCCAAGGATGGTTTCACCGAGAATTACAGTAGGTTGCTCAGAAATTTTCCTCCAGTTCTCAATTCCTTAACACTCCTCAATCATAGACACTCACAGATATGTGTATGCAGAAGTAGTAGCAACGTATCTCTGTGTAAACACAAGTTCCTAGTTGTTGACTTACATTATTATTATTATTATTATTAGTCCCTTGAGTTCCTAGTGGAACATAGGGCTTCAGTAGCACGCCTCCAGTGACCTCAGTTCTCTGAGATCTTTTGAACCTGGTTCCACGACAGCCCACAAGCTCTCATTTCCTCCTCACACGATCCCCTCCATGTCACCCTCGGAAGTCCAACTCGTCGCTTCCCATGGGGATTCCACTCGAGCAACTGGCCTGACGCGTGATGTCCTCAGTCGGCCTTCTCAGTGCATGCCCAATCCATCTCCACTTCCTCCTGCATATTTGTTGGGTGATAGGTTCTTGGTTGGTTCTTTCCCAGAGCTCCTTGTTGCTGATTCTTTCTGGCAATCCATCTGATCTTCAGTAGCGAGCCAACGTAAGCAGTTGTTGATGAATGTCTGTAGTTTGTTGGAAACCCCTTTCGTAACGCGCCAAGTCTCTGAGGCATACAGAAGCACTGACTTGACGTTGGTGTTGAAAATCCGTATCTTGTTCCGCATGCTGAGTGCAGAAGATCTCCACACTGGTTTCAGGCTAATGAACGCCTGTCTTGCTTTTCCGATCCTGGCTGACTTTGACGTCCTCGTCTGTCCCGCCTGTAGTTGAAACAGTGCTTCCTAGATAAGTGAAGGAGGTTACTTCCTTTAAGTTTCTCCCGTTGACGGTGATTGGAGTTTGTTGTTGTTGTTGATGGTGGTGGTGCGGTATCTTCATCACTTCTGTCTTCTCTATATTCACCTGAAGTCCCGTCTTAGCTGCCTCTTCTATCAACTTGTTAGTTTTGCCTGCAGATCTTCAAGTTTATGTGACATCAGGCACAAGTCATCGTTGGCGAAATCCAAGTTTTCTAGGTTCTTTTCCGTCGTCCAGCGTATCCCCCTCTTCTCACAGCTCCCCACTGTTTGCTGCATGATCCAGTCCACTACAATCAGGAATATCATGGGTGATAGTAGATAGCCTCTTTTTACTCCTTCCTGTCTTCACTTCAAAGGCATCACTGAGCTTCCCATTGTGGATTACTTGGCATGTGGCATCTTCATGTAGTTGTTGAATGAGGCGGATAAAGGTTTGCGGTACTCCGTAGTAGTGAAGCAGTTTCCAAATTACTTCTCGGTCGACACTGTCAAAGGCCTTCTCAAAGTCGATGAAGTTGAGGCAGAGAGCTGATTGCCATTCTATGCTCTGTTCTATGATGATGCGAAGCGTTGCAATTTGGTCTGCACATGATTTGTACTTCCTGAACCATCCTGCCTGTTCCGGTCGTAGTTTTGAATCCAGTGCATCCTTTAGCCTCTCCAGGATGATGCGGCTTAATATTTTACTTGGGGTGGATAGGAGAGTGATTCCTCGCCAGTTCTTGCAAACACTGAGGTCTCCCTTCTTCGGCAGTTTGACAAGGTAACCCTTCTTCCAATCAACAGGCAGGTACCTTCTCTTCCTTCCACACCTTCTGCAATAGTGGTGTGAGCATGTCCGCTGTTGTCTCTGCATCTGTTCTCAGTGCTTCTGGCGGTATTCCATCTGGTCCTGCTGCTTTCCCGCATTTCAGTAGCTTTATGGCGTTCAGGACTTCCATTTTCGTTGGGGGATTTATGTTCACTTGTAATTCAGCGGCTGCAGGTGGTATTTCTGGACGAAGTGCAGGTGGTGGTCGATTCAAGAGCTTCTTGAAGTGGTCGGCCCATCGTTTCCTCTGTTTCTCTTCTTTCGTAATTAAATTTCCTTCTTCATCTTTTATTGGTTTCATCTGTGTTGGTCTCTTCCCTGATAGCAACCTGGTTATTTGATACAATGTCGTCAGGTCTCTCTTACCTGCAGCCTGTTCTGCTTCACTTGCCAGTGTTTCGTAGAAGTGTCGTTTGTCTTTGCGTGCACTCTTCTTCACTTCTTTATCCAGTGTTTTATACATTGTGCTCAGTTCCTCTTGTCGTTGAGCATCCTTGCACTGGTTTATCTTCTGCTTCACCATCCTCCTCTCCTCTATCAGCTTCCAGGTATCCGTCGAGATCCATTCCTTATCTTCTTTCTTCTTCCTTCCTAATACTGTTGTGCAGGTTTCTTTCCACATAGCTTTCAAAGACTTCCAGTGTTCTTCCACACAGGTTTCTTCAGGGATGTTGCTCGATGTCTTCCATTTTGTCTTGATGGCTGCTTGAAGATCTCCTTTGTAGTTTCATCCTTCAGTTTCCGAGTGTTGTACTTGAATTGAGGTCTATCACCAGCTTCCTTGAAGGCTTTTAACTTGATTTCGAAGGTTCCTTGCACTAGATAGTGGTGTGAACCTACATCTGCTCCTCTTCTTGACCTTGTGTTAAGTAGACTGCGTCTCCATTTTCTTGAGATTGAGATAAAGTCGATTTGATTTTTAGTGTGTCCATCTGGTGAAATCCATGTCGCTTTGTGGATATCCTTGTGCCTGAACACACTGCCTCCAATCACCAAATCGTTGAATGCGCAGAATTCTGCAAACAATTCTCCATTCTCATTCATTTCACCTAGCGCTTCTCGACCCATGGTTAGTTCTCTTCCCGTGTTGTCCCCTCCTCACACTTTGGCATTCATGTCGCCCCACCCATTAGAATTTTGATATCGCCATCTGGGGTGAGGTCTTGTCCAGTGTTGATTGAAGTTGTCTGTAGAAATCCTCCTTTTTCTCTTGCTCTGCATTATTTGTAGGTGCCTGGTGTAGCATTGTATGATTGTGACCTTCCTTCCTTTTGAGTTGAATCTTGCTGTCATGATCCTGGAGGAGATCGGTTCCCACTGCATGAGAGCCTTCGATGCTCTTGAGGACATCATGATAGCCACTCCCTCAGTGTGCTCGTGGTTGTCGTCTGGGTGACAATATCGGAGTAGATTATTGATTCTCCAGTTGACAGTTTGGAGAGTCCACTCCCATTCCATCTGCTTTCGCAAATCCCAAGCACTTCGATGTGATACCTTCTCATCTCCTTTGCAATCTGGGCTGCCTTACTGGGTTCAAACATCGTACGGACATTCCATGTCCCCACGTTTACTTTCGCTTTCATCGAGAGAAGACACATCGGCCCGGCCAATTGGCTTCTTGGAGGCTTTCACCAACTGGCGTCATTTCGCCTCTCCGATTCCAGCGGGGAATAAGTTTGTTTTCATTTTTTATATTTTGTTTGTGCTTTGAAGTTTGTTTAGCGGTTAGATTTGTTTTACGGGGTAGGGTTGCTAGCCCTATGCCCAACCTTCCCTGTTTACCCGGGCTTAGGACCGGCTAGTAACTAGTAAACTAGTTAACCAGGCGAGGTTGTTGACTTACATACTTAGTTAAATCACTCTTAGCAAAAGTAGCGAATAAATCGAACCAGCTTAGCCAGTGACACCACATGAACAACAGTATTGCACAAGAATGGATTTGGAGTCTCTTGAAGACATCGATGTATCCAACTACTGCTCTCGTCTCATTGCCAAAACGTCCTTCTTCATTGCCATTAGGCATAACTCAACAATGAAGTATGTGAATTCTGATGCACTATGCATTCATGCATATCAAATGTGAGTGCGGCAACGAAACCGTCTGTTCTCTCAAACCTCGTTGTTGCAACGAAAACCGAATTCTGTCAAGCCGATAACCTGAAGCCTACTTCACATCTGGTTTTCCTTCATCTTCAGTCATCTGTCGTCTCACTTCAACATCAACCTGTTGAACAAAAGCTGATTCAAGTAACGTTTCCAACAGACAATCACAATGACATCTACGCTGCCCGGCACATACACAGATATACACTTGTCTCCTCCAGTTTCAATTCACATTCAATCATTTTAGTAAATGAAAGGAGGATAGACAGGGTAATGAGTTAACTTAACCTACAGATTACATTGTCATCTGAACTGATACATCAATGTAACAATAGTTAGTTAGTGTTAGTAAATGATGGGAATGATAATGCTCAAGGGTAAAATGCAAACGAGATGAATAAAAGATTTAAAACTGTACATTGGACACTTGTCGTTGATACAGGGTATAGAATGACACACAGGCTGTCTAGACTATCTTCACTGGTATCAGTAGAGGATGAGTGATGTCTGTTTTTGTCTGTCTACCTGTCTATCTCTAATCATGTACGCTAAGGTATGAATGAGAGGGGTACATCTCAGAATGCTTTCAAATAATTGAACAAAAGGATCGTGTCAGTACAGACATACTGGAGGGGTTGGTCAAAAATCCAAAGGACAATTGTACCGTTTTCGGGCATCTGTAACCGCTGTCACTGCACATGAATGTACAATTGACTGTAGAATATTTAATTATTTCCAACATGCAGTGAATTGTATATCTGGTAAGCTTAACAAAGTAAATGTCAACCTAAAGTCATCAAAACTGACATCAGTCATCAAGAGATGTCATGAAGAATTATTCACTGATGAAACAGTCCATCCTGATTTTAAATCAGTCATCATCAGATCCTATAGCTTGGAAAATGTCCAAATAAATTATGATGCCATTTTCATAGGCTGTAATTTCGTGCTCAGTTAAAACCTACACTGACGTTATACTGATCTTCATGGCTACCAGAGGAATCCAGTACTCTCGTCTCCTCTTATTTCGGACTCATCATCTGGGTGTACCTACACCCCAGTGAGTAATGTTGTTCCCATTGGGGATGGAACGCAGTACCATTCATTTCAAACACCAGAGCGTTATCCACTAAGCCATTGGGCCACGACAGCCACCTCTTTGAAGCGGGTATCAGTTGTTGTAATGAATATCTGGGAGTGTCGAGGTGTCCTGATAGGAGACCATCTGTCAACATAGGTTAGGATATCCGGCCGTGTATAGCAACCAGAAATTACAAGTATCATTACAACCTATACTGACAAATTCATATCGAGAGAGGCATTGTTGATGAGTTGAAAACTACTGAAACCATTTTTGCATTTGAGTATTTCCTTCGGAAATTGAATGTAGAAAGATAATGTCATATTTGTGGTAATTATAGGTGAGTGTTCTGAGATGAATTTCCATTGCCTCCGTGAATTGTTCAGTTTAGGACATCATCATAAAAGGAAGGAGTTGACTGACAGATTTTCACTGTAACTTTGATGGTAGTAAAAACTAGGTGTGTTGCTATTTTCTCGACTGCCTGCAACGTTCCTACAGTGAATACGATTCACCGTTCTGGTATTTTACTTTATCCGAAGTCTGCACTGAGAGCTACATGTGAGGATCATGAAAGAATGTAGGGGAAATTTGGGATAACAGTTCTAGTTCTGCAAGGATGCTACCCAACAACCCCCAAATCGATGTTGTTTGGTGTCATAGTTGGGCATTTCAGAGGTGCCCAATAATTAGACTAAATAGTTATTCAATGTTTCTCGGTTCTAAATCTTCTCCTAGTTGATTTCAGTGGTGTAATTAACTGTCAGGAAACCTTTACACAACAGGAACTTATATTATTTTTCTCAAATTCCTACTATCCAACTGGATGCCGGATTCAATAGAAACAGTGAGGAAGGGAGATTTGAGAGTTACTACAAAGTGGTTTAAATATTTTCAGCCACATACATCACTAAGCCTGCAGTACGTCATCGCTGAAAACACAAATACTTTGTAGTTAGCGGGCTTTATGGAACTGTAGTATCACAATGCGTCTATTGCTTTTAATACTGTATAATCCTGACTATTTATTTAGTAAATGTTATGGGAATCCTCTTAGAAGAAAATCCTATGCACTTTACAACCATATAATTCGAATTAGCACAGTTTATAAATACCAATTTCTAGATTTCAACCTGACATCTCAAAGAAAGTGTCAGATGGTTGAAACTTTTCTGAAACCTATTCTACTCAATATCATACATATCTGTTGTTAAAAGTTCTCAGATAGTGATGAATCTATCTCTCAGTAGGATATCTATTAATTTTTACTGATTTTCATTTTGTTGCCCCTTGATGACTGGAGGCTTCCGCTAAACTCTCAACTAGATGCACTTCAATAGTAAACATATAAACTTTAACTTTATGGAGTATCCATATACATAAGTATTCCATCCTCCTGCCTCCCTCCCCCACCTCCTTCCATCTCTCTCTTTCTCTCCCTCTAACCAACTAGATTCGAACATTTCGACCCAATATAGCAAGTGGCTGTCATGCCTTGGTGACCTGGTGGATGGCGCTGTGCCTTTTGTAGTGATAGGTACCGCGTTCGACTTTTCGTTGGAATGACATCACCCAATGGCGTGTAGGTATATCTGTAGCGAGTGTTGCTGATCAGAATGCATACAAGTAGTATATATTGAGAAGGCGACAGAAATCATAGGCAATTATCAACAATGGGTAAAGATTCTGCTAAGAGAAATGCAAGAGGCAATGTGGGCATATTAAGAACAAATCGAGATAGACGCAGAAGAGGAAATGGAGCACATTGTGCAAATGGCTGTCTTAATGGCGGGTGTACCATATTTGATGACTGCTGCGCAAGATGTTAATGATAAACATTCCTTCCTACCCCTCAGTCTTGTCGTTACCTACATATCCATCTGACAAGACATCAAATAAACTAAAATGCAATAAATATCCAGGCATCCGCCAACAAATGGCGTACAAATCGAGCCAGTATAGCAACGGCGAATTATAAATACCGATAATCATCTAGTTTCCCTTCGTTATGACGAACGTATTTAAATCCATAATGTCTTCCTTATATACAGTAAACAATATTCAATAGCACGTTATCACAGTCAAGGTCATTATCGATTTTTTCGCAGTGTATACGATAGATATGCATATACACCTACATCGTTTTGACAGCTGATTTGTATATGATTTAACTTGAATCAGGACATGAAAATGAACTTTTATTGTAGGATTTGTTTAAATCGTCCTTTTTTAGTTTATTTCAGCATCAAATGTAAGACAAAGTGGTGATACTTTAAAAAGAAGACTATATATGTTTAGCAGTACTGTAGTGGGCGTTGCTGATAACAACGGATATAAGTAGTATATATGGAGAGGGTGGCAGGAATCATAGAGAATTACCGGCAATGGGTAAGGTTTCTGCCAAGAGAAACGCAGGGGACAACACAGGCGTATTACAGGGGATGCTGCTGATAAGTGTATGAAGAGCCGGTCAAGAGCAAATCAAGACAGGAACGGAGAGGAAACGAAGACATTTGCAAATGGCTGCGTTAGTGCAAGGAATACCATATGTAACCACTACCATTCCAATTGTTCGCACTTAACATTCGTCTAGTTGTCATCTGCTTCTTCAATATTCTTATTGTAGTCTTTATACATGTCAAGTGATGAAAATCTGTTCATCTGAAAGAGAGAACTCTGTTAACAGACATCTGTCCAACTGTCGTGTTATTTGATTCCATTTTGACAGCAACAGCAAAAATGCTATACACGTATTTCATGGATTCACCTCAGCTTCTGTTTAACCTGTAGAATATAATGTTCGTTATAATGATGGACAGTGGCCAGCAGTGGAATCCAGAATGCGCATTTCGTTCTATTTGGGATTCGTCTGCCTCCTAGTGGGTGGTGTTGTTCACGCCGGGACTGGAACTCGCGACCGACTGCTTCAAAAGCCAGAGCGTTATTATACTGTCGTTGACTGGACCAAACCGGTCGGTCTTTCTTGGTATATGGGCTCCTGCGTGGATGCCTCGATATTGCCCGTGTTTCAGTTATATATAGTAATGATGGACAGGAAGAAATGCTCATCCTGGATTCCACTGCTAGCCATTATCCATCGTTACTATAATTAGAACACAGATAATATCGAGGCATCCGTGTAGGAGCCCATATGCCAGTAGAGACTGATCAATTTGGTCCAGTCAACGACAGTATAATACAAGCAATGATACCATATTGTTTTTTTTATTTTAAAAAATCAACACAAACGACATATTTTTAGCGGGTGATAGAGATGTTTTCATTGACGCGGAGGATAACAAAGATGTAGGCTGACTGAAATTGGTGAAATTTGATGACGTTGAAACTGAAAAAGATTAACTATGCATACAACAATGAAAGAATGAACATTCTAGAGAAGATAGCGAAAATTGAGGAGGATTTCTGCATAGTGTGATTCCGGAAGGATCATCTCTCTTACTCGAATTGTTTCAGTCATTCCAATAATAGGGGACTAATTTGAAATAGAAATCTTAATATGATTTGAGGGTTGGAGGAGATTTAATTATTTCAAGAGAGTATTCATCATGCGGTGATATAACCTCAGAACATTGGACAGCTGTGTTGCATCCTACTGTGGAACTCCTCAGCACCCATGACCTAGTTTGGGAACAAGCTTATGTCCCTCAGGTCTAGCGGTAAGTGTATAACTTATTCAGCCACTGTCCGAGAGTCTTCTACTTCCCATTTCCTACTCTTGACATTCTGAAATATAGTGCAATTATCATCTCATCTAGGAGTATATCACTAAAGGACACTGAAGAGGTGAACGTTGACCACTTGAATCTGACTCAGTGACTGAATGATTAACATACTCATCGGAAGACACGAAGGTTCTGAGTTCAGCTCCTGATGAAGTCGTGGGTGCGCATTTCTGGGGAGCCCAGTACTCCCAGGTCTTCAGTGGTTGTCCAACTGATGTAAGTCCATGATGAATACTACTTTCAAGGAAATCTTGATATATGAAATAGAAATCAAAGTCTTATTGAAGAAAACAGGTTATTACAATGACGTTTAGCATATGAAACTTCTCTAACTAACATCAGTTGGAGACGTATTGGGAACCTGGCGTCTCTGGACAACTGATTGTTCTGAGTATGGGATTTTTCGACTGTTCGCATGCACGACCCCACAATGAGGCGGCCTAAGATCGTCGTCTCATGGTTGGCACTTTGTTGTTCAGTTACTGGGTAGGAATCCAACTGTCCATATGTTCTTACTTCTATCAATTCGTGACTTTCGTATGACAGTTATCCACTACCGTCGTAGATGTTTATATCATTCATATGAGTCACCTAATGGTGCATTTATGCAGATTACTATGTAGGCAACAATGTACCTTTTGGTATACACCCCGCCGGGCACCTGACCCAGTAACGGCAGAAAATCTTCATTTGATGTAGTAGTTTATCAAGTCAGTCATAGTAGTTCCCACACTAGGTTACAATCCTTCACTAATATATCTATCCATCATTCATAGAAGCCAGATTACTAAATAAAGTATTTAAATTGATAAGAACCAGTTGAAGGGGACCAATAAATACAAGTGTTAAAAATGGGTTAAATGTCAATACCACTAACAAGTATTTTGGCACAGAAACACTGATCAAACACGAACAAAATATAAGTAACCACCGCTGTAGTTGGTTAACTAAAAACCAGGATCTTCCTTCGCAGTATTCTAAAAGCCATATCACAGTCATCATTAAGTTGATGGCTTCCTCATCTGACGTCAATGATAGCAGCAATGAATACTGACAAAATTATAACTAAACCAGACAACGTGAAATTGGTTATCCTCTGCAGTGATCACTGGTTGGGAACCTGATAAATAATAGAAAGTGATTTGTTTGGACTAAGTACACTAATGTAGAGCTGTTAATGGCATTTACCACATATCATATATCCATATCAGCAGGTGTACTTTGCTAGCCTAATCAACCGACTGTGAATTATCGAATCACAGGTTCAAAACCTACCTCGGAACCAGACAACTTTTAGGAGATAGATGATATCATCAGCCCTCATACAACTGGTGTTTCTCATAATAGTCCAAATGAATTTTGGTATTAGTTCCATGATTTAAGCTGAACTCTTGTGGTGTGTAGTAAGAATGACTCTTGAATAACTTCATTTGATCCAGTCGAATAAGAGGGATGAGTTAGATTTGATGATGGAAGAGGTGTTCGTTAGATGGAGGCGATTGACAAGAAGCCCTGAACTTACGTCTTGTGTTTATTGACACTCCTTAGCAAGACATATCTGCAGCCTCGACGGGATTGATATTTGGCCTACGATTCAAACCCATGTCAAGTATTGCTGGATTTGGAGAAGTTATCATTGGGTTATTCGGGCCGTGATTGACTTCCTGTATGATGGGATGAGGTAAATCGATTGATCACTACGGGGCATAACGAACTATGGATAATTTAAATTTTTTGCTGGAGGTAGTACCATAATTTATGAAGTGACTGTGTTATGTCTGTCGAGAGAGTTACGTGTTTGTTCGGTATGGTACTATTATGGTTATGTGAATAACTTATTCTATATTTAATTCTGAATGAAATATTTCACCATTGGTTAACATCAGTCTTGATCCTGATTCACTGATCCTTTTAAGTAAATATTAATTTCGAATATTTCTTCTAAAGGCGTCTTTTACTGAGCAATCGGTTAGTTGACATTAGTTATTTGAAATACTCTCACTGTCCGAAAATATTGTTCTTTGTATATCTGATAGAAAACTACAGACAGTTGAGGAACACTGTACAGTTATTTTGTCATTTTCAAAATATTCGCCTCTATTGTATACTCACCATTTGGTGCGGAGTGGAAATCAGACATGATAACACGTACATTATTATTCAGTGTATAATGCCAGAATCTATTTAACTGCGTTGTGAAACAGCCTGCATTAGCTGATTATACGCCATGAACATCATTTAGTCGTGTCGATCATCTTGATGAGACGTTTATCCTATGCATTGTAACCCATTTGAACTGAAGCTTATTCAGTGTTCAAGAGTAGCAATGCACGACGAAGTGGCTGTCCAACTTCACATAGTTTTCAGTATTTCCCCACCTAGTTAGAGTATGTGTTGAAAATTATTCCACGGAATATCTATTTTTGGACAATTCCACACGGAACAAATCTGAGACCACTATTTTTTTAAATCTAAAATATTACTGCAATATGTCATAATAAGTTAATCTGATGGGTTTTCTTTTTAGAAAAAATTTGTACTTAAAGACAATCTTCTTATTGGTTGTATCTATATTCAGAAGGTCAGTTGTCCAGTGGACCAATCAGCTGTTTACAATGAAGGATTGGCTTAAATGCTGATTGGTCAATAAGGAAGCGGTATAGAAGGAAATGTAAATAGTTGACATACTTAAAAGCGTACTCTTTAAGAAGAACACATAACTTAGTCCTTAATGTGACCTTTATTTGGACATTATTGAAAGTACTTTACGGTCATACACACAAATAGGATGTGATCAAAATGATGACTTATTTATTAAAACTGAAGAATGTGATATGCATGTACTAATATTTCTACATACTTCTTAAAATTTAACTACCTCAAAGAAATACATCTCAATAACATTTTCAGCATTAAATAATCTTTTATTAATTATGGTAGTAAACATCAGCTATGGAAAAAAAAATCCTAAATCAATTCTCAGTGAAACTAATAATGATATTCGGCGATGTCATCAAGTGATCTAACTCACAGATATCAAATTAATTCAAATGTTGCTGAAATGTCAGAAGATTCAAGTTCAGGCTATAGCCAAATAACACCAACTCTTTCAAGTAGTAATGCTCGTCTTTCTTATCCTTCATACTTAACTGGTATTGATGAAGATACGAAAGGTGAATTAGTACATTCAGTTTTTGATCTTCAACATGAACAGAAACAATATAACCAGTCTGGTAGTATATGTGCTGTACCCTTGAATGTATGCTGTGTTTGCTCTAGTGAAGATGGTTTACAGTCATTACATTCAGATATACATGTGCTTTGTGCCTCTCCAGGTTGTAAATACAGTAAGTCCTAATGTATTTATGTATATTTTTCGTGACAGATGTCAAATTTGCGTTAATCGTCAAGTCATCTAATTCTGCCTGAGAAGAGACAGTTCGTTTTTATCTCGATTAGTGTACTGACTGGTTCCATTTATCCAAGTATTGTTTGCCTACAACTTATGGAGCATTGGATTCTGACCCAGTGGCTCAATAGTAACGTACTGGCCACAGAACCTGAAGGTCGCGGGTTCGATCCCTACTGGTGGGGTCGTGGGTGCGCACTGCTGAGGAGTCCCATACTGGGACGAAACAGCTGTCCAGTGCTCCCAGGTTTTCTTTGTTCCTCCAACTGATATCAGTCTACGATGAATAACAACTTGAAATAATTCCAAATCTCTACAACTCCCTCAAAATTTAACTTATTATAGCCAAATAAGAATACTATTTCTAAGCATTTCGTAATAATTCTTGTATCATGAAAGTTTTCTAGAAAACTGTTAACTTGTCATAGTTTGTTTTAACTATCTTGACTGATTTCTAACGATAATTCATTCATTGTACGGTCTTTTCTGTTGTCAGGATTTTGTATGGATGAATTTCATGATTTTGCTGATTACTTAAAAGACTTAAGATTTCAGTGGACTGTAGTTGGATTTTGACTGTTTAAAAATTATATGTAGGAAGCTGCAGATTAGAGTTTCATGCATATTATCCCTGATGGATGGTGGTTCCAGCATACCAAATAGTATTCATCTGTTAAACATATACTTCTGCTGATTAGTGTTGGCAGCTAAGATAAAGTGGATCTGTAACTAACTGCAGGAAGCCTAAGTTGATCATAAGTTCTAACAATTTCCTACCAGTATCAGGCATTGATTACTTTCACTAACTGTACAGTTCAGTCATTGGAAAATATGTAATTTCTTCAGCAATCGGTGTTGTGTATAATCACTTTCCTCTTCTTGACCTATTCTCTCCTGTCGTTCATAAGGAAAGACATATCAGATGTAGTATGCTCTGACACGCCTGTTTCAATCCTATAACAAACAAGATAATAGTAATTACTTACAAAGACAGTCCTATGTGACCAACAAGATCCTGCACCTGGGTGACGAAAATACCAGTGTTCTGCTGAAGAAGCTTTGGCCCACTCAGCGAAACGTTCTGAAAAATTTTGTTTCAATTTGCTACACACTCTAGGGTTATATGCTGTTGGTTGCACGGATGCGCTGATATTTCTTGTCACTTAAATTTTACGGGAATGATAGACAGTATCTAGCAGTGGAATGAGTTCAAAACATGCGTTTCATCCTATTTCGGACTCGGCGCTGAATGTACTAGCCCCTCCCTCAGTGAGTGGCTTTGCTCCCTCTAAGACTCGAACCTGGGACAGATTGCCAGAGCGTTATCCACTAGGCCACCGAGTCACGACGAGAAAATACAGGCAACAACATAAAAACTATACCCATCATACAAGAGGTGGCTGTCGTGACTTAATGGCCTAGTGGGTAACGATCTGGAGTTTGAAGTGATCGGTTCCGGGTCCAAGTTTTAGTATGGACAATATTGCTCAGTGGGAGGGAGGTATATCCAGCTGACGAGTGAGAAACAGAAACTGCTAGTCACTATCCATCATTACCATAAAGCTCTGGGATTACATTAAGATACACTTTCACAGCACAGTTATGTTTACATTCTTTCTCCTCTTTTTAGATTCTACTCCCTTTCTGTAATTTTAAATGAATTTTATAACTTCTCTGATCAACACTTCCTCTCCGTTTATGTGTATTTGTATGTCGGTGTAGGTTCTACCTCCACTTAGGTCAAGGTCACACACTACTGAGGTGTCATAGGCTATGAGGAGAACTTTTCCCCCGGGTACACTTGAATTTTTAGTAGTCATTTCCGTGATATCAGTTAACAAGGAGTCTGATTTTCGAAGACTGAATGAAAACGAAGCTGACTGTTGCATTGATATGTAATGCACTTGCGTTGAATATGCTAGTCGTTATAACTTTAGTTTCTTGTCCGTAAAGTCAACCTTTAGGTGTATGTATGCGCTTTCCTCAAGAGTTCGACAAGATGGGATAGAATATGAAGAGAATGATGTTACTTATTTATCAGTGGTCAGTAGGCGTTTTCCTTGGGCAGTTATTCCCATAATTATTTGTTGATACTTGTAATTCCCGTCGTTATACTGCAATGGGGAACCATCTTCCACTTGGGCGTGTAGGTAGATCCAGCTGACGAGTCCTAAATAGGACTAAACGCGCATCCTGGCTTTTACTGTTAGCCACTACCAAGTAAATCGTTCTCGGTAGATGAAATATGAGTTATCCAAACATATGTACCAGCATTCTTCCATAATCTCCATTGCTTAAAGTAATTACAGGAAGTAGAAAAATCTCAGGTTGTTGTCAGGGTCTCAGAATGTCATCCAGATACATCAGTAACAGTTGTACAAATAAATTCTTAACTATATTAGTTAAAATCGATTCAGTTAGGATGTGAAGAGAATCAGTTTTCTTCTATGTAAACAATATTCTTGCATAAATGAGAACAATGAATGCGCCACCCTAGGAATGAATGACTCAGTGTGTTTTCTTATACATGTTGGGCAGAAATCTGAGTATGTTTGGGGTGCATTTCGCATCAAGTCTGCAACTATTCCTAGTTTTAGGATGGAGAGCGAAGTGATGAAATGCATCGATCTCTTCACTTACCTGGGGAGTTATATCACTTCAAACGAGTTGGTTACTGACGAATTCTCAGCTCGGCTACAGAAGGCTCATTTGAGTGAGGTATACCAACTTGTATCATCTCTGATGTCGACAGGCGAGATCTCCCAGTACTTATGAAAGAAGGAGTATAATGCACTGCGATTGGTTCTGTCCTGTTATGCGGTTGTGAGACATGACCGTTTAAGGAGAAGACATGAAGCAGTTACAGGTTTTTGATCACAAGTGTCTTCCTTTGTAGCACTGCTCACGTTTGGTGGAATCACCGTTTGAACAGTACTGAGTTCAGACGAAGGGTGCTAGGGCAAGGAAGGGAAGTTGGCTGATAAGTATGTGAACCTCCAACAACTGAGATGGCTTCGACACGTACTGCGTATGCCGAGCCACTGTTTATCTAGACGTGCGATGTCGGATTAGGCTGGAAAAGACGATAGAAATCAGTGGTTGAGAACTATTGTATCCACTCTCCGATGTCTTATAAAGCTTCAGTGTTTTAACTAACCGTAATTTTGAAATTCTCTCTCCTCTTATACAGCTCTGTCTACTCTGATATCAGTCTTTCCCACCTACTTGTTCTTTCGATACTACTGTGAAGTGTGAGAACTTGAACCAATGAACTTGTGTGTGGGGTTCTACATTGGATTTTTTTCTATACCTCTGTCTATGCTTGACTATTTACGGTTGAAAATTTTTTATTTGGATTTTGATCAACAGAAGGTGAACAAATCACTTGTATATATCGTTCAACCTTAACTACGTCATTTCTGATTGACGGCAGTTAGCTAATAATAATAATAATAATTGTTTGGTCTGTAACACAATAAGTTTTATAATGGGTGATGATTGAACCAGATTCGAACCACTGGGTTTCCGGACCGATGCTCTACCAACTGAGCTACGAGGTCTGACTGGTGACTAGATTTTCACTTCACTTCAATCATATGAATTCGTTACGCGTTACTACGGCTTGATCGTATTCACACTGGCTACTTAGTCAGGACTTCTCATCCCAATCGAAATCTAACTAAATCAGAGAGGGGGAGCATCATATTGATTATCGTTTGACTATCTGAGACAGCCGTAGTTTGGCAGACTACTATTTAAACGCGGTGCTGATTGAAGGTGAAATGAAAATTTGGACCGCGCCCGGATTCGAACCATCGAACCAGTATCAATAACAGACTGCCAAACTACGGCTATCTCAGGTAGTCAAATGATAATCAATATGATGCTCCCCCTCTCTAATTTAGTTAGATTTCGATTGGGATGAGAAGTCCTGACTAAGCAGCCAGTGGGAATACGATCAAACCTGGTGGCCGTGAGGACAAATTCTCATGAAATTGGGTGGCGATTGCGTTATGTCGTGAACTGACAGGAGTTGGAAATATGGACCATTGGATTCTGACCCAGTGGCTCAATAGTAACGTACTGGCCATGGAACCTGAAGGTCACTGACTTGATCCCTGGAGGGATCGTGGGTGCGCACTACTGAGGACTCCCATACTAGGACGAAACAGCTGTCCAGTACTCCCAGGTTTCCATTATTCTTCCAACTGATGTCAGTCTACGATGAATACCAACTTGTTGTTGAGCAATCTAAAGTGTGAATCTACTTGTATTGTTGTTATCTAATAATGTTTACACTAAAAGACGATGGAAAACATAATGAAGAAAGATGTTAGTATTGCTAAGTAAGAATAAGTGATGCCATAAAAACCCTCAATCTGCCCATTGAAACCAGTAACATGTCTTATGAAGTATTCTAGCTTACTCCATATTATTCAGAAGCACTATCTAGATAAACACTAATAGTTAGATTAACTAGTTATCATTCACTGCAAAAAGTCATTTATTCAACTTGATAAATGTATTCATTGGAAACTTCAGTATTTCCTATAGACATCAATATGAATTTAGGTATCGGGAACGAGATCCTATTTTTGGATAACAGAATAAATTGGCTATTCTTTCCTACTTACTGTTTTTTCTCGACAACTTCAAGATTCTGAGTTGATTTATTTATCTGTCGATCATTTATTGATATGAAAATATTTTAGGCTTTCAGTAGCGTTGACCGAGAAGTAATTTGGCAGGTAGTTGCTTCAACACTACGGTTTCATTGCCACAAACCTTCATCAAACTCATTCAACACCTACATGTTATATGATGCTACATGCCAAGTGATTCACAATGGAAAGCTCAGTGATGCCATTGAAGTGGAGACAGGAGATATGAGTGAGACAAGGTTGCTGCCTACTATCACCGACCATCTTTCTGATTGTG